TGGATAGGTTACAGGGGTGGGCTAACAAAAACAGGATGCGCTTCAATACTGACAAGTGCAAGGTGCTGCACTTGGGCAGCAGTAACCAGCACCACACTTATAAGATGGGAAACTCCCTTCTTGAGAGCATGGAAGCAGAAAGGGAACTTGGAGTCATTATTAACTTCAAGATGAACATGGGCTGACAATGCGAGGTCACGGTTGGCAGGGCTAACCGGACCTTGTTGTGCATCCACAGATGCATCTCAAGCAGGGCCAAGGAGGTGATCCTTCCTCTCTATGCGACACAGGTCAGGCCACAGCTGGAGTACCGAGTCCAGTTCTGTGCACCGCACTCCAGGAGGGATGTGGACAACACTGAGAGGGTCCAGAGGAGGGCCACTCGCATGATCCAGGGACAACAGGGCAGACCCTACAATGAGAGACTGCGGGACCTGAATCTGTTCAGCCTTCACAAGAGAAGGTTATGGGGGGACCTGGTGACCATCTATAAACTCGCTAGGGGGGACCAGAAGAGTTGGGGAGAGACCTTGTTTCCCCTAGCGCCCCCTGGCATAACAAGAAATAACGGCCACAAGTTGTTAGAGAGTAGGTTTCGATTAGACATCCATAAGAACTACTTCACAGTCAGGGCGGCTAGGATCTGGAACCAACTTCCAAGGGAAGTGGTGCTGGCTCCTACCTTGGGGGTCTTTAAGAAGAGGCTTGATGCCTACCTGGCTGGAGTCATTTGAGCCCGGTTTTTCTCCTGCCCAGGCTGGAGGTCAGACTTGAAGATCTACAAAGTCCCTTCCGACCCGACTTCTATGACTATGATTCTATGAAGTCAGCTGGCCCAGACAGCTTACGCCCCAGGGTACTTAAGGAGCTGGCAAGCATCACAGCTCTGCCACTGGCACAGATCTTTGAGAACTCACAGTGCTCAGACGAAGTGCCCGAAGATGGAAGAAGGCCAACATGGTGCCTATCTTCAAGAAAAGGAGGAAAGTAGATCCGGGGAACTACATGCCCATCAGCCTGACCTATTCTGGGGAAGTTCTTAAAAAAAATCATTGAAGAGACCATACTTGACAAACTGGCTGAAAGCAACTTCCTGAGGGACAGGCAGCACGGGTTTGTTCTGGGTAGGTCTTGCCTGACGAATCTCATCTCCTTCTATGACCAGGTGACATATAACCTGGACAAGGGAGAAGTGATTGATGTCATATCTCTTGACTTTAAAAAATCTTTTGATCTGGTATCCCATGATTGTCCAATAGAAAAACTGGTGAACTGCGGCCTTGGCTACATCACAGTCCGCTGGCTGGGGAACTGGCTTCAAGGTCGGACCCAGAGAGTGGTAGTTGATGGAAGTCAATCATTGTGGTGCACTGTGACCAGTGGGGTGCCTGCTCCTAAAAGAGCAGGAACTGCCTGGGAAGAGCCCAAAGAGCCAGACAGAAGCCCAGGTGCAGGTTGCCATGGCAACCAGCTAATGAGGAAATTAGCCTGCACCTGCACCTGGTCAGCTGGCTGGAAGGGGCAGGGCCCTGGGCCCATATAAACCCCAGGCCAGGGACTAGAAGGTAGTTCTCTGTTGGCGGCCAAGGGAGAAGGAGCCCTCCTGAAGCATGTGAAGGGAAGAGGCCTGACTAAGTTCTGCTCTGGGTAATGTAGAGGGGCCAAGCACACCTTATAGCTTGTGTTATGTTATAGCCCAGGGGCTTATTTTTTGTTTGCCTTTTTATAGGACCAGTGGTTTGGGTGAGGCTATTTGGGGAAGAAGGAGGCCTCATTGGGGGCCCACAGCAGTGTGGAGACCATGGCACCAGAGAGGGCATGGCATTTGGGGTGCACAGACTCCAGCGCCAGAGAAGGTGCAGAGACAGGAATGCGGAGAGCCCAGTGAGGACAAGGGGGCTAAATTACAACAAGGCCCAGACTGGACAATGTCGGTACCATCTGCGAGGCTTGGGATGTGGTAAAGGGGCGGTTGGAGCCAAGCATATAGCCCATAAAGCTAGGGTGCCCCAAAACACCCATTGAAAAACAGGACCCACAAGGGGTCCAGGAACCCATGGCGTCAGAGAGTTCATCAAACTGTGCCCAAGAGGACTTAAAGGCAGCCTCCCTATTTATATTTTCTATCAAAGACATGGTTGGCAAGAACTGAGGGTGCCCACTGGGCCGAATTGGCATGGTCAAGGGGCCTGGGGAGATCACAGCCGTCCTTAAGGACCCCGTCCTGTGACAGTCCTCCAAGGCTCTGTCCTTGGGTCTATTCTTTTCAACATCTACATTAACGATGTGGACATTGGTGTCAGAAGTGTACTGGCCAACTTCGCTGATGACACCAAACTTTGGGGTAAAGTGTACACACCCGAGTACAGGACAGTAATCCAGGCTGACCTTGACAGGCTTAGAAAATGGGCAGATGAAAACCTGATGGCCTTCAATGCCAAAAAATGCAAGGTATTCCACCCTGGGAAGAAAAACCCACAGCATGCTTATAGGCTTGGCAGCGCTATGCTTGCTAGCACAATGGCTGAAAGGGACTTGGGGGTCATGATTGACCACAAGATGAA